TCTTCATTTTCTCTCTGTTCTGTTTTGTCTGGTTTTGTTGGAGATTTTTTTCTGTATGATGTTTTTTCAGTGTGTGAGGATATTTTTGGTTACTATTTTTTTCTTCTGTCCTTTCCTTTTTCTCTTCTTCATTCTTTTATCTCTCATTTATGATTTTTTTGAATTTCCAACATTTATTCAATTAAATTCTGAGAATGTTATAATGTAATCAAGTATTAAGATATAGAGCAATTTATGACAATATTTCTCTGAAAGTGAATGCTTTTGTAGCATTTATGATTTAGATCTCTGTTTTAGTTACTCTTCTCTCCTTGTTGGGACAAATACCCAACACTCAAGCTTAGGGAAGGAAAGGTTTATTTAGCTCACAGTTCCTGGGGGTTTTATAGTTTAAAGCAGCCTGAATTACATAGCAAGACCTCGAGGCACTGTCATCCCATGCTACAGGGTCTGGAAGAGAGGCTGGGGTGCTGCCATGTCCAGGATAATCCCCTTCATACCTCCAAGAGATGCCGCCAGGCCTGGAGGGGGGGTAGGGAGGTGTCAGCTGTCAGTTGAATGGTTCACATCTCTCTGGCTCTGCCCCCTCGGCGCCCTCCTACCCTATCCCAGACCCCGCCCCTAAAGCCTCTGATTGCTCCTCTAGCTGTGTCTGCCCCATAACTTACATGTGACTTTGGGGGACAACCAGACGCAAACCATAACGATCTCTAACATTTCTTCTTGCTTTATTCTACTTGTCTTCTTCCTCTTTTTAGTCAACTATTTTGCATGACTTTATGATACTTTCATGTGAGTAAGCATTGTCTCATCTCTCTCTGGTTCACTTCAAAATGCCTACATGTTCCCCTCCAATCCTTCCCTCTTTTGTCCTACAATGACCCAAAATCTGGATGATCTGGCCTTGCAACTTGCTTCTACTAGATTTAACCTCCTTCATCTCTCCAGCCTACGCCCATCCTCCTGAGCCTCCATAACAGGGTAAAATCACTCTACTAATTGTAAAACAATTGTATACAAGTTCCTGCTATAAGTTGGATTATATTATATTTCTATAAACCTTCCTCCTGTGGTTATAGATATGAAGTTAATAGTTAACCACAGTTTATGCATAGCCAGGCTATACTTTAGTCTGTTGTTGTTGACTACTGAACTATTTTAAGCAGGATGTCATTCTTTTAGTTCATGGAAAAGAAAAGTTTGTGCTAATATTGTTTGGACAAGATATCATGCCTGTGCCGTGTACTCTGAATAATTACTGCAGCAACAATACACAATGTATTAATTATTGTAACTCTACTACTCTGTTTGGAAACTCTGTTTTATTATTTTTTCCCTTCTCTTAAAAAAAAAAACAAAACAGAGAATGGGTGGATTGTCACCATTAGCTGATGTGTCAACATGAATGGGAAACACCCAACTCAACTGGCTCAGCATAATTCTGGAGGTGGAACAATGACCCTAGGGAGAATTGTTTACAGAACGGTTATGAATACAGATTAGGGAGAATCCCTTCTGCCACTCCAGGGGAGCTCCAGCCTTACCCTGCACCTTGGACATCATCCACAGACGTCAGCACAACCCCTTCAGCTTCATCCTTCAGGACACCAGTATACAGACAGCCCCTCCGCACTCTTCCAATCTAACTCTGAGCAGCCACTGTAAACCAACCTTGGAAATGCTCATGTATTTGTAAATCTCACATAAAATTTGTTGCTCTAGAAAAGCACTGAGTGAGGCAGAGAGGAAAGCTAATGAGAACATCTAGGTTGGGTGCATGGCTAAGCGGTGACCACTTGCCTAGTTATGTGCATAGCTTGATAGCATAAAACTTACTGGTAAATAGCTATATAAAGTCAAATTCAGAATGTTTCAATACTGGCTGGGGAGATAGCTCAGTGATCTAAGTGCCTGCCTGGCAAGCTCAAGGACCTGGGTTCGTCGATCCCTGGAACCCATGTATGCCATGTCAGCCACCAAAGTCAGGCATAGTGGCACATGTTTGTAATCCCAGTGCTGGAAAGGCTGAGACAAGAGAATCACTATGAGTCCAAATTACATAGTGAGACTCTGCACCAAATAAAGATTTTTTTAAAAAAGAATGTTTCAGTACTGAAATTGCGGTGTTTAAACAACTACGTCTTTAGTACAGAGATTAAAATAGAAACTACCCAAATAATGACTGTAATAATTAAAGGCCTTCCAATGTAAAAATATGTAAAACATGACAGCCATATTAGTGACAGTTACTAGAGTCATTAAATCAAGATAGAATATCTTGATAATTGTACAAGGGATTTATTAGGCAGATTTACAAGATCAGAGGCAGAAAGGCCCCGAAGACCATATTCAGAATGATTGGCACAAGAATTCAAGACAGTTATTGTATGCAGAGAACCACAGCACCCACTACAAGTCAAACTTCAACTACCTGGAAGGTCACTGTGGTCACACTTGTGACTCTGTGTGAAAAAACAACAACAACAACAGAAAAGTCAATTTTGGAGGCCTGTAGATTTTGCACGGGAGGAATTCGAACACCGATATCCAAAGGCAATGTCAAAGACTAGGTCTTCTTCAAACAAGGAAGTTTTCCTTCTTCTTTCCTTTTTTACTCTGCCCAAGTTACAAGCCCATTTGGTTAGTGGATCCACATCTAAGGACATCAGAAAATGGAAAAAAAAAAAAACATGTTCGTGGAGAGATAGAAGCAGTTTTGTCAAAATAGCCACATCTCCCAACTTTTTTCAATGCAGTCCCAATCAAAACATCAAGAGCATTGAATATCAGTGCTACATTAGAGATGTAGAAACAGTAATCCTAAAATTCTTTGGAATCAAAAGAGACCATAGTAGCAAAAGCAATTGTCTACAATGAAAGCAAAACAGAAGATATCACAATGCCTGACTTGGAACTATACTACAAAACAACAGTGATCAAAGTGGTATGGTATGGGAACAAAACCAGACACACGGAATGGAATAGAATAGAGGACAGAAACACCCCCAGACACACTCAGCTACTTGAGCTCTGAGAAAGGGAGCACATGCATACATTGGGGGAAAGAAAGCTTGTTTTATTTTATTTATTTATTTATTTATGTGTGTGTGTGTGTGTGTGTGTGTGTGTGTGTGTGTGTGGCCAGCTCAGCCCACCAGGGGGTGGGGCGGGCTGGCATGTGGTGCTGGGGGATTGAACCGCGGTCCCTGTGCTTTGCTAAGCTTGTTCTAAGTAGGTGCTTTAGACCACTGAGCCATCTCACCAGCCCCAAGAAAGCCTATTTTAGAAGTGGCATTGGGAAAAATAAATAACTAAAGAAGATTGAAAGTAGACCCATATGTCTCATCATGTACTAAACTAAAATCAAAAGCATCAAACATCTTAACATTAGTGGAAAACATTGAACCTACTGTGAGACAAAATAGGTAAAGCGCTAGGTATAGGTTCTAAGCAGAACCGCAATGGCACAAGATGCCATAGAATCACCAAATTTGATGGAACTACATCACATTAAGAAGCTTCTGGATACCTCAATCAATAAGTAAAAAGATAACTGACAGGAAGAGAAAAGGATTTTGCCAGCCATTCCTCAGAGTGTTAGTATCTAGAACATATAAAGAACTAATCATAGTTAAAAGACCTACATAAATGACCCAGCCTCCTTCAGGGTGAGAATGCAGGCATAAACCACCGCACCTGGTCTTGTTGGCTGGCTCAGAGTGCCCGGAGGTGGGGCTGGCATGGCACACAGTGCCAGGTTATTGATCATTTTAGACCATATTTACTCCCAGTTTGTCACACTATAGTGACCAAATGATGTCTACACATGTGAGTATGGTTTATTCTGCATATAAGTATAGACTCAACATGCATCAATTCACCTATGAAAATCTCAAGTTTATCCTTTATGGCTGAGTAGTACTCCACTGTGTAAGAAGTTACTACAAATTGTGCTGCTACCAACATAGGCACACACATATATTGCCATGGTATGATGTTTTTAATCTTCGAAGATGCTATCCAAGAGGGAAATAGCTGGGTCAAATGGGACCTCTAATCCTAGATTTTTTAAAGATCTCCACACTGATTTCCAGTGGCTGCACAAGTCTACATTCCCACCAACTGTGGAGAAGTGTTCCTTTTTCCCTCCAGCCCCTCCAGCATTTGTTATTGGTTGATTTCTATTTCTTACATTATTTATCTATTTATTTATTTGATACAGGGTCTCACTACACCTTTCAGACTTAAAGTGGTCCTCCCCTTTCAGCCTCCCCAGGGCTGGGATTACAGGCGTGGGCCACCACACCCTGGTTTGGGGGCCAGCATAGCATGCCCCACAACCCTGCAGTACCAGGAATCTAACTTGGGTCCCAGCACTTGCCAGGCAGGAACTTAGACTGGTGAGCTATCTCCACAGCCCAGCCCTATTGGTTGATTTCTTTATTCTTTTTCTTTCTTTTCTTTCTTTTTTTTTTTTTTTGAGCTGTTATACCCATTCCATTATGACATACAGTACAAACGTACAGAATGAACATGGGCTGAGAAATTACTGACATGTTACAGAGCAACATATCATTAAGGAGGCTGTTCTGCTTCACTTGATCTGAAAACTACTTGGACAGTGCGCCTCCTGATTTCAGAAGCTGCAGTCTTCTCATAAAGATCTTTCAACAGTTTAGTGCTTAGTGTTCTTAGCACAACACCACAACTTAGTTCAGAAGGTATTTTGGCAACTTTTAATCTCAGCAAGGATAGGGGCTTTTGAAAAATAAGGCTTTAAGAAGGCTTGTCATTTTAGGGCTAAATTTTAATATGGTGTGAGTTTGAACTCTTACACTTAAAACAAAACCTTAAAACTACTGATTGGTTCAAAATGGTTTTATGGAAAAATAAATCTGTAACAAAAACTTGGCAGTGAGTGTGAAGAAGGCTCCACTGTTTTTTGAGCAAAGCATACAAAGGTTCCAAGAGATAGGACCAAGGACTAAAGACTTGGACATTTACAACAGCAGACATTTTCTCTTCCTCTTTTTGACAGGAGGTGGGCAGAGAACTGCTCGGATAGCTTCATCAAACACTGTCTTGAGGCCTCTTTGGGTGAGAGCTGGGCACTCTAGGTATTTTAAAGCACCAATCTCCTTAGCCATGGCCAAGCCCTGTGGATAGGTGATAGGAGTCAGCTTCTTCTCCTTCAGCTTCTCGATCGTGTCTTTATCATCCCTAAGATCAAGTTTTGTTCCCACAAGGATAATGGGAGTATTGGGAAAATGGTGTCGTACTTCGGGATACCACTTTGCACGGACATTTTCAAATGATGCAGGACTCACAAGGGAAAAGCAAATTAAGAACACATCTGTTTGCGGATAGGAGAGGGGGCATAATCTGTCATAATCTTCTTGTCCAGCTGTATCCCATAAGCCCAGATTCACTGGTTTTCCATCTACCATAACATTGGCAGAATAGTTGTCAAAGACAGTGGGGATATATTCTCCAGGAAAGGCATTGGTTATATAACTGATCAGTAGGCAAGTTTTACCTACAGCTCAGTAGAGGGCATCCAGGGATAGCGCACCAGTCACTTCCACGCCTTCTCCCCTATTGGTTGATTTCTTAATGATGGTCATTCTTCCTGGGGTGAGATGGAGCCTCAGTTTTGTTTTAATTTGCATTTATCAAATGATCAGTGATGTGGAACACTTTTTATAGATTTTATTTGCCACTTATGTATCTTCATCTGTGAAGTGTATATTCATCTCAGTGGCCAACTTTTGGGTTGGGTCTTTGAATTGGGGGAGTCTGATTTTTTTAATTCTTCACATGTTCTAGATAGAAATCCTTTGTCTGAGGACCAATTGGCTAAATGTTTTCCCTAATCTGTGGGTCATCTTTTCACTCTGTCAATGATTTCTTTTGCGGAGAAGAAGTTTTTTTAATAAGGTGAAATCCTAGTTGTTGATTCTTTTTTTTTTTTCATGATTGTAAAGGAATCTTTATTTTATTGTATATTTTATAATTATATTGTATGTTTGACATATGTTTCATCATATTTATGAAGTACAATTTGATTTCAACACATATATAGTGTAAGAGAGAGTATTTAGCATATCCATCACCTCATGCATTTATAACTTCTTTGGAAGGAAAAAATTCTCTTGCAGCTATTGCAAAATACACACTACTTTAATTGTTAACCATAATCACTCTGCTATGCAGTGGAATACCAAAATTTACCTGTTGGCCACATCCTCCCCATCCCTGGCTCTCCCAATCGCTAGTCTCAGGTAACAACTATTCTACTGTACAAACTGTGAGACAAACTTTTTAGAATCTATATACAACTGAGATCATGTAATGTCTAGCTTTCTATGTATGGTTTATTTCACCTAACATATTCTGCTCCAAGTTTATCCCTATCTGCACTGACAATTTCATTTATTTTAAATGACTGAATACCATACTAAATAATATTTCTTTTTTTTCCTTCATTGCTAAAGATTCACTCCAGGGCCTTGCATAAGCTGGGCAAGCGCTCTACCACTCCCAGGGTAGTATTCTGATTCTGTTAACCATTTTGATAGATTCTAGGACTTAGAACAATGATGGAATAAACAAGACAGTGCAGATGTTTCCTCCACTTACTGATTTCATTGCCTTGGAAGTTGTCATTGCCTGACCAGATAGCTCAGCAGACCAAAGGGCCTGCTTAGGCAGACACAGGGACCTGTGTTCTATCTCCTGCGTGCCGGGCCCGCTAGTTGTTGATTCTTTGAAGTACTTACTTACAGTCTGGATTTTGTTCTTGAACTCTCTGCCTACTCCTAGACTTTTATGATTTCTACCTAATTTCTCTTCCAGAAGATTTAGTATTTCTGTTTTAATATTTATATCTTTAATCCATTTTGACTTTAACTTAGTGCATGGTGATAGACATGGATGAAAAGTCAAAGTTTTTGCTCTAAAATCAGGAACAAGACAAGGCTGTCCACTGTGACCACTCGTATTCAGTATAGTTCTGGGAACATAGCCAGAGCAATTAGACAAGAGAGAAAAATAAAAGGAATCAGGATGGGAAAGGGAGAAGTGAAATTATTATTTGCAGATCATATGACACTATTCATAGAAGACCCCCCAAAATTCCACCAGAAGACTTTTATATTTAATAACAAAATTCAGTTATATACCTGGATATAAAGTTGACACTTAAAACCAGTAGCCTTGCTGTACATGAACAACAAATTCTTTGAGAAAGAAATATGCCATTCACAATAGCATCCACAAAAATGAAATATGTGCAAATTAATCTAACAAAGGAAGTAAAAGATCTATCAAAAATTACAGTACTCTGAAAAAGATTGAAGAGGATATCAGAAAATGGAATCAGGGGGGAACTACCCGCTTGGGCCCCCCCTCCTGTCCCTCTCTCGGGACAGGAGCTTTCTCTCAATAAATATATTCTGCTCATAAAAAAAAAGAAAGAAAATGGAAAGATATCCCTTGCTCATGGATAGGAAGAACCAACATAGTGAAAACGGCCATACTCCCAAAATTGTGATACTTAATGTAATGCAATTCCCAGCAAAATACCACTAGCATAGCCCATAGAACTAGAGAAAACATTCCTAAAATGGATTTGGTAACAGAAGAGACCCAGAGTAGCAAAAGAAATTCTGAGTGGGTTGGGGAGATAGCTCAGTAGATTAAGCACTTGCCTGGCAAGCTCATGGTCCTAAGTTCAACCCCTGGTACTGAAAAAAAATCTGAGCAACAAAAGTAAGTAAAGGGGCATCACAGTCCCTGGCCTGAAATTATGCTACAAAGTTATTGTGATAAAATCAGCATGGCACTGGCAAAAAAAAAAGCAAACTTGAGCATCAGTGAAACAGACTAGAAGATGCAGACACCACTCAAAACACACTCTGCCACTTTATCTCTGACAAAGGAACCAGATGTGTTCACTGGAAGAAAGACAGCCTCTTTAACAAATGGTTCTGGAAAAACTGATTTCCCACATGCTGAGGACTAAAAAAGATAGCCTCTCTCTCTTTCTCTCTTCCTTCCTTTCTTTTTTTTCCTTTTGGAGACACAGTCTTGCTATGGATTGCAGGCTATTCTTGAACTCCCTATGTAGTCCAGGCTGGCCCCAAATGCACTCAAGTTCACAGCAATCCTCCTGCCTCAGCCTCCTGAGTGTTGGGATGACAGGCACATGCCCCCAGGCCCAGCAAACATCCTCTTTAATACTTCAAATTGTTTTCTTCGTCTCAATTGAATTAATTTCTGCTCTAATCTTTATGATTTCCTCCCGTCTTTGGGATCTGGGTTTGGTTTGCTCTTCCTACATCCTCTTTAATAAATGATGCTGGGAAAACTGATTTTCACATGCTGAAATTTGAACCTGGACTCTTCTGTCTTGTGCACTAAACTAGACTCGATGTAAATCAAAGATCTAAATATAAAAACAGAAACCCCTAATCTGTTGAATGATAGAATAAGCAAAACTCTACAAAAATACAGATGTAGACAAAGAATCTATAAACAAAACCCCAGTCACACAGGTAATATTACAAAACAATCAGCAATTTGGATCACATCAAGTTAAAAAGCTTTTGCGCAGGAAAAGGAACCACCAACAGAGTGAAGAGCCAACCTACTGAATGGGAAGACGGTTTTACCAGATAATCCTCAGATAAAGGACTAACTTCTTGGACACACAAATGACTCAAAAAGGTCAGACTCCTTAAATTTAAGGATGCAAATCAAAACTGGACATCTCAGAAGAAGAAATACAAACACCAAAGAAATACATGAAAAATGCTCAACATCAGTGGTCATTTGAGAGATGTAAATTAAAACAACACTTAGGTTCCATCTCACCCCAGGAAGAATGGCTGTCTTCAAGAAATCAACCAATAACAAATGCTGGCGAGGCAGTGGGGAAAAAGGAACCCTTCTCCACTGTAGGTGGGAGTGTAGACTGGTGCAACCACTGTGGAAATCAGTGTGGAGGTTCCTCAAAAAACTAAGTCTAGAAGTCCCACCCGACCATTCCCTTTCCTGGTGTCTTTCCAAAAGAATTAAAAGTATCACACCACAGTAATATATGAGCACTCATGTTTATGGCAGCATGGTTTGTAACAGCTACGTCTTGGAAATAGCTGAGATGCCTATCAGCCAATGAACAGAGATATGGGATTTATGTACAATGGAGTACCACTCAGCCTTAAAGGATAAACCCATCTCTTGTAAGAAAATGGGTGCACCTTGAGACCGTGAGCCTGAGTGAGATAAGTCAGACACCTGAGTTTCAATATCACATTGTTTCTCTTGTGTGAGAAAGTGAGCAGGGAAATAAGGATAATGGAGGATGGATACTGGGAAGTAGGCCGAACTTTTCCAAATTGGAAGGGGAACAAGGGAGTGGGGAGGGAAGGGAAGGGAAAAGGAAAAACAATGAAAATAGAAGGAAAAGTGGGCACAAAGCTTTTCCCAATGGGGCAGAGGGAGAAAGGTTAAAGGAAGAGGAGGGGATGGGGAAATAAAAATTAAAATATATTCTGGGGCTGGGGAGATAGCTTGGTGGCATAAGAACCTGCCTGGCAGCCACAAGGTCTCCAGTTCAATCCCAAGTACCACATGGCATGCTGAGCTAGCCACTGAACCCAGGCATGGTGGCACACACCTGTAATCCCAGTGCTGGGTAGGCTGAGACAGGAAGGTCACTATGAGTCCAAACTTCACAAGGAGACCCTGTATCAAAATTAATTAATGAATTATTAAAATAAAGTAAAAAATATATATTCTGTACAGGTACAAATCCCCTATGATGAATGTGATCAATCTGCATTATAAACATGTAATAATAAAAAATAAAGTTAAAAAAAGAATGTCATAGATGAACATAGTGGCATAGAGCTGCCATCCTGGCTCACTAGGGGATGACATGGGACAATTCCAAGTTCAAACTCAGCTTGGATAACTCAGACAGAGCCTGTCTCAAAATTAAATGGTCTGGATTTAGCATCAGTCAGTGCTGAGGCTACAAATTTAATATGCTCTACTGAGAAAAGCAGTTCACATAGCATGATATTGTCTGAATTTGATTTTGTGTGTGCTTTTACCCTGACTCTGCTACTTCAGGGTTATTTGTGTGTATGTGCTGGGAAAGGATCTGGGGCCCTCATCATGCTTGGAAGCGCTCACCACTGGGTCTCACTTGCATGCAGATGTTTTTCTTAGCTTCCCTCTCTGCCTAAGAATCCCCTTTAAGGGCCTGTGAGATGGCTAGGCAGACTAAGCAACTGCTTAGGCGAGCACAGGGACTGGGGTTCAATCCCCCACACCACCTGCCGTGCCAACCCCACTCCTGGGCACGATGAACCGGTGACTGAGTCTGGGTGTGGTGGTGCACTCCTGTAGTCCCAGTGCTGGGGAGGCTGAAAACGGTAGGCTCACTACAAGTCTGAGCTGCATAGTGAGACCCTGTACTACATACATTCAAAAAAAACAATCCCCTGTAGTATAACTGCGTGGTCTGTCTCAGATGTGGCAGCTAACAACGATGAACTCACACGAGAAAATAGTAAGACACACATCACAGGCTCGGGCAGTTGGGGACTGAACAGGAAGATGCAGGTGAAACATATGTAATGACAGATAGAAGGACTGCGTTCATGGGACGTATGTGACCCCCCCGCAACCCTCGGGTGAAGGGTTTCCTCTCCAGCGTGGAGCTGTTGGGAGCTGACGGAACAGGAAGAAGTGAAGCCCAGTGGAGACCTGTAGCTCACCGCAGTCTCAGCCCCGGGAGGGGATGGGGTGGCAGGAGCCTGGGCTTCTCATCCTCTTCATTCTCTTTCTTCAGGCTGTCATATACTCCCAGGCATGTTGTTTCTTCTGTCCAGGCACAGGCCCGAAAGGGTGGATTAAGGAACCAGGGATTTGAACTTCTAAATCCGTGACCCCAACTGTCCCTTGGATCTTTTGAAAGACACTGTCTCAGGCATTTCATTGTAATAATGGCATGCTGAACAACATAGGTTTTTTCTTCTTTTAGCACTGAAAATTTATTTTTAATATTTATTTATTTATTTATTTGCTACAGGATCTCACTACGGGGCTCTTGTCTTAGCCTCCCCAGCGCTGTGATTACAGGTGTGCACCACCATGGCCAGTCTTGGTGGCCAGCTCAGCATGTGGTACCAGGAGTTGAACCCAAGTACTTGTGCTTGGCAGGCAGGTGCTGAGACTGTGGAGCTATCTCCCTGGCCCCAACACTGAGAAGTTAAAGCCAGATCTTTGCAGTGAGCTACAGTCCCAGGTATGGGCTCAAATGTACGATTGTATTACCTCAGCCTCCTAGATTACTGGAATTGCAAGTTAGTCCCAACATGCCCAGAACACAGAGAGAAATTTGAACAGGTGCCCAGAATAGGCAAATACGTAGAGATGTAAAAGAGATAAGTGATGTGTGGGTTGGAAAAGTAGAAGATGGCTTGGGGAGGTGAAGGACCCGCGGAGCGACTCCTGACTGCCACAAAGGTAGGTTTTTCTTTGGTGGAGACTTTGATGGTGGTGCTAGTGGCTGGAGCCCAACATCACACTGCAAAGTCTGGGCTCGTACACTTTGCGTCTGTGGAGGACTGCAAGGCGTGTGCATTTTATCTAACTGTTTTGAGAAGTATTTCTAAAGGTTGAACCTGAAGCACATGTATGCCTACAGGCCCTGTGATCAGTTTTGTTTGGTTTTTGTTGTTGTTGTTGTTTTGGCTTGGTTTTAGTTTTTGGTGTTGAGGACCAAACCCAGGGCTTCCAGCTTACTAGGCAAGTGTTCTATCACTGAGCTAACCCCCAGCCCCAGGCCATGTATGTTTTTTTTAACTTATTTACAAGGTGCTGCTAATTTACAGGTCTAGTTTTACTGAAAAGTTCATCTTTTTATTTAAATCACAACAGATGGGGCCAGGGAGATGGCTCAGTAGAATAAGTACTTGCCTGGCAAGCTCAAGAGTCTGAGTTCAATCCCCGGTTCTGAAAAAAAAAAAAAAAAAATCATAACAGATTTGGTGTGTATTGTTTTGGTTTTTTTCCTCTTAAAAACAAATGTCTCAGGGCCAGCGAGATAGCTCAGCTCACTAAATGTCTGCTTTGTCAAGTGCAGGGACCAGGATTCGATCCCTGGACCCGCCCCCAGGGGTGCTGAGCTGAGTCAGGGCATAGTGAAGCAGGCCTGTCATCCCAGCGCTGGGGAGGCTGAAAACAGAAGGACCACTACAGTACAAGCTGCGTCGTGAGACCCTGTACCAAATACATAAATGCAAAAACAAACAAAAAACCAAACGCCTCCATCCAGGCCTGGCTGGACAACTATAATCTCAGCTACATGATGGCAAAAGCAGGAGGGTCAGAAGTTCTTGGTCAGTCAGGGCCGTGTAGTAATACCCTGTCTGTAAAGAAAAAAACTGGGGCTAAAGCTCAGCACGAGAGTGATTTCCTACCTTGATGAAGCCTGAGGTACAACTCCTGATGCCGGGAAAGTGAGAGAGGACTGATCCCACTGGCCAATTGATTCACATGCTCGGTTTTTTGTTTGGTTTTTTTTTTTTTTTTTTTTTTTTTTTTTTCCACTGACAAAATCATAGGAAGTTTTCAATTTGGAGGGGAGCGGGGGAAAGGGAGATTTCTTCCAAGGTAGCTCCGGGCAACAGAGGGCCCTTGTCTCCCTACCAACGCCCCATGCACCGGGTGTCAGGGTCTCCGGATCTTCACCAGCAGGAAGCACTGGAGGGGGCGGGGAGGGAGACACCACCGGCAGCCAGGCCTGGTTCTCCCTCCTGAACCCTGACCTCTCCTTTCTTTTGTGTGGAACTGAGATTGGACTTTCATTTTCTTCTAGAAGCTTCTGCATAGGCTATTCTTTCATCTGGGCTGAGGAGAGTTCGAGGAAGTTCGGAAAAGAAACTACTTCTCTCCAGTGGCAAAAAGTCAACCTGAGCAGTTCAGTCTGCTGCGCCGCCGTTCCATGACTCAGCAACAAGAAAAGAACCGGATCGCCGGAAGGAAGTCCAGAATACAAGCTACTGCAGACAGATTTTCATGCATGCCTGGATAGTGGGCAGACCTCAAAAGCATGAGCATGACTCATTAAGATTCCCATATGCCGGGCTGGGGAGATGGCTCAGTAGAATAAGTGCTTCCGGGCACGCGCAAGGGCCTGACTTCAATCCCCGGTTCCAGAAAAAAAAAAAGAATTACACAAAATCTTGGGTCCCTGCTACTTGTGTGATGGAGCCAACTCTGCTGACCACATCTGGGGCACACCCTGAAGGCCTTAGCTCCTGAAAGTTAGCAAACTTGTCTCTCTGCAGGTATGTGGCCAGTTCTTTCTTTGGGGAAACAGAAGCAACATGCACCACAGGCTTATTCAAGATGTAATTAATAGTATAGTATAGAACAATACACTTTTAAAAAAAAAAATTGGGGGGGGGACTGGGGATTGAACTCAGGCCCTTGCTCTTGCCAGGGAAGCACTTATTCCACTGAGCCATCTCCCCAGCCCTTGCATTTTTAAATTTATTTTCTAATTTTTGTTTATTTATTTGGTACAGGGTATTGTTACACAGCTCAGACTTGTAGTGATCCTACTGTCTCAGCCTCCCCAGTACTGGAATTATAGATGTGTACCACTATGCCCCATTTTGGGGTGGCACAGCATCCGGGGTTCCAGGGCCCACATGGCATACAGTATTGGGGATCGAACCCCAGTCCTTGGACTTGCCAGGCAGGCATTTAGACTGCTGAGCTATCTTCCCAGCCCAACAATGCAATTTTAAAGCAAAAGTGTTGGCACTGGTTCATTGGTGCACATCTACAATTTCTTCACTCTGGGAGGCTGAGGCAGGAGAGTCACAGCTCCAAATCCAGCCTCAGCAAGTCGGCAAGACCCTGTTTTGAAATGAAACACAGAAGGCCTGGGAATGTAGCTCAGTGCTGAGGCACTGGATTCAAACCCAAGTCCTGGAACAATAAAGACACAAGTGACTTACATGCCAGGCTGTCTTCTGAATTTGACCTCATATTTATCTTCCTGAAGAGTTTTATGCTTTCAGATCTTTTTAACATTTTCTAGGCATGGAACACAACACCAAAAACTCACAACTGGGCTACACCTGCAATCTGGGTCTTGTTCTTTGTATTTTGAGACAGTTCTCGCCTGTTACGCAGGCTGGCCTCTGCCCTGTCGTGCTCCTGCCTCTGCCTCCCACAGTGCTGTGGTGACAGGCACGTGCTACTCCAAGTGGCTTGAGCATTTATGCGGCACTGAGGGTGGGCTAGGGTCTGGTTGGCATTACTTTGTTCCTGGTTTTATAGTCTGGGAGAGACCCTTATGACTTGAGGGATGTTTTGATTCTGATGTTCCTGCTTTAAGGGGGGCAGCCTCAGTTTGGGGTAGCTATGCTGGAACCCAAAGTCACTGTGGGTTAGAGCAAGGCCTAGGGACACTAGGTTCCTGTTTCTGTGGGTGATGTGCCATCTGTCTTGAAAAAGAGGGAGACAGGTTAGGAAAATGTAGGGGTAATAAACCTTTAGTGACCTGCTTGGGTCCTGAGGTCCAAGCCAGGCTCGGGGAGAACAATTTTGTGAGCTTTGGGGCAGCATTGCCTCAGAAGATCAGAAACTTAACGAAGAGAGAGACAGCTACTGTAAAGGAGGCAGAAAACGAAGTAGATGTTGTAACAACAAAGCAAAGCAAGAAAGTGAGAAAAAGAATAAATGCATAAGAAAAATCTTAACCAAAGAGGTGAAAGATTTGTATGCTGAAAACTACAATAAGACAGGGATACAGTAACAGAAAAACACACAGGTAAGTGCAAGAGCAGCCCTCATGGATTGGAAAAATCAATTCTGCCAAAATATCCACGCTACTCAGTTATCCAGAGTCAACACGATCCTCTCTTCCAAATCTGAGTGACACTGTTTACAGAAATGAGGGGGAAAAAACAATGAAAATGATATAACCTCATAGAAGATCCTAAGCATTCATGCAATCTTAGGCAAAAAGAACAAAAAGAGAGGCTATACCGCCTGACTTAAAAATAGATTGCGAGCCAGGCCTGATGGCACAAGCTTTCAATCCCAGCGCTGCAGGAGGATGATGGCAAGCCGAAAGCCAGCAGGACAACAGAGCTACGAACAAGTCTGCATCATAGTACTGAAAACAAACAAATGGCTGGGGCTGGTGAGATGGCTCAGTGGTCTAAAGCACCTACTTAGAACAAGCTTAGCAAAGCCCAGGGACCACGGTTCAATCTCCCAGCACCACATGCCAGCCAGCCCCGCCCCCTGGTGGGCTGAGCTGGTCACACACACACAACACACACACACACACACACACACACACATAAATAAATAAATAAAATTTAAAAAAAAAAAAAAAACAAATGGCTGGGATGGAGCTGGGGCAGAGGCCTTGGGCTCAATCCCAAATCCCACCAAAACTCAGTTTGCAGTCATTAAAATAGTTTCATGAGTAGAAAGGTAGACAATGTATCAATGGGATAGAATAGAGAAACCAGAGGTAAACCCACACATTTTTGTCAACTAATTGTCTTCTTTCTTTCTTTTTTCCCCTCCCTCCCCCTCCTCCTCTCCCACCTTCCTCCTCCTTCTTCTCTTCTCTCCTCTCCTCTCTTCTCTCTTTTCTCTTTCTCCTTTCTCTTCTTTCTTTCTCCTTTCTCTTTCTTTCTTT